ACTATACTATGACTTTTCATGCCTGTAAAATATAATGATATTTTTGTGACTTTTATGTCTTACTATATTATGATGTTTTTATGCCTTACTATACCATGACGTTTTATGACTTTTAATGCCTTACTATACTATGATATTTCTTATGCCTTACTTTACTTCGATGTTTTTATCCCTTACTATACTATGTCGTTTTTATGACTTTTTATGCCTTACTATACTATGACGTTTTTATGTCATTTTTATGACTATTGTCACTTTAATGACTTTTCATGCCTCACGATACTATGACGTTTTTATGTCATTTTTATGACTATTGTCACTTTAATGACTTTTCATAAATTACTATACTATGACTTTTTATGCCTTACTATACTATGATTTTTTATATCTTACTCTACCACGACATTTTTATGCCTTACTATACTATGATTTTTTATATCTTACTGTACTACGACATTTTTATGACTTTTTTGCCTTACTATACTATGTCGTTTTAATGACTTTTTATAACTTACTACACAATGTTTAATGACTTTTTATGCCTTACTATACTATGGCTTTTTATGCGTGTAAAACATATTGATATTTTTGTGACTTTTATGTCTTACTATACTTTGATGTTTTTATGACTTTTTATGTCTTACTATACTTTGACGTTTTTATGATTTTTTTAAGCCTTACTATACTATGATGTTTTTAGAACTTCTTATGCCTTACTATGATATGATGTTTTTATGCCTTACTATACTAAGAAATTTTTATGACTTTTATGCCTTATTATACTATGATGTTTTTTTGCCTTACTATACTATGACGTTTTATGACTTTTCATGCCTTGACTTACTATGAAGCTTTTATGCCCTACTTTACTATGTGGTCTTATGTCGTACTATACTATGTCGTTTTTATGACTTTTCATGCCTTACTATACTATGACTTTTCATGCCTGTAAAATATAATGATATTTTTGTGACTTTTATGTCTTACTATATTATGATGTTTTTATGCCTTACTATACCATGACGTTTTATGACTTTTAATGCCTTACTATACTATGATGTTTTTTCTGCCTTACTATACTGTGATTTTTTTAAGCCTTACTATAGTATGACATTTTTAGAATTTCTTATGCCTTACTTTACTACGATGTTTTCATACCTTACTATACTATGATGTTTTTATGACTTTTTATGCCTTACTATACTATGATGTTTTTATGACTTTTTATGCCTTACCTTACTATGTGTTTATGCCTTACTATACTATGTCATTTTTATGACTTTTATTGCCTTACTATACTATGACTTTTCATGCCTATAAAATATAATGATGTTTTTCTGACTTTTCATGCGTTATTATACTTTGACATTTTTTTGACTTTTATGCCTTACTATACTATGATGTTTTTATGCCTTACTATACTATGACGTTTTTATGACTTTTTATGCCTTGACTTACTATGAAGTTTTTATATGTTTTTTGCCCTACTTTACTATGTGGTCTTATGTCGTACTATACTATGTCGTTTTTATGACTTTTTATGCCTGTAAAATATAATGATATTTTTGTGACTTTTATGTCTTACTATACTATGATGTTTTTTGCCTTACTATACTGTGATTTTTTTAAGCTTTACTATACTATGACATTTTTAGAATTTCTTATGCCTTACTTTACTACTATGTTTTTATACCTTACTATACTATGTCGTTTTTATGACTTTTTATGCCTTACTATACTATGACGTTTTCATGACTTTTCATGCCTCAGTATACTATGACGTTTTTATGTCATTTTTATGACTATTGTCACTTTAATGACTTTTCATAAATTACTATACTATGACTTTTTATGCCTTACTATACTTTCATTTTTTATATCTTACTGTACTACGACATTTTTATGACTTTTTTGCCTTACTATATTATGTCGTTTTAATGACTTTTTATGACTTTTTATGCCTTACTATACTATGATGTTTTATGTCTTACGGTACTATGACTTTTTTTCTGACTTTTCATGCCTTATAATCGTTTTTTTGCCTTACTATACTATGATGTTTTTATGACTTTTTATGCCTTACTATACTTTGACGATTTTATTATCTTATATCTTACTTTAATTTGACGTTTTTATGACTTTTATGCCTTACTATAGTATGCCTTTTTATATCTTACTGTACTACGACATTTTTATGCCTTACTTCACTATGTGGTTTAATGTCGTACTATACTTCGTTTTTTTTATGACTTTTTATGTCTTACTATAGTATGACGTTTTTTTGACTTTTATGCCTTACTATACAATGTCGTTTTATGCCTTACCGTACTATGATGTTTTTATGACTTTTTATGCCTTACTTCACTATGTGGTTTAATGTCGTACTATACTTCGGTTTTTTTATGACTTTTTATGTCTTAGTATAGTACGACGTTTTTTTGACTTTTATGCCTTACCGTACTATGATGTTTTTATGAATTTTCATGCCTTATAATACTATGACTTTTTATGCCTTATTATACTTTGACATTTTTCTACCTTACTATACTAACTAACTTACTATACTGTATTGTTATCTATGACTTTTTANCATAATACTATGACTTTTTATGCCTTATTATACGTTGACATTTTTCTACCTTACTATACTAACTAACTTACTATACTGTATTGTTATCTATGACTTTTTATACCTTAATATACTATGTTGTTTTAATGACTTTTCATTCCTTACTATACTATAATGTCTTTTTTGCCTTACAATACTATGTTGTTTTATAACTTACTATTCTGTGTTGTTATTTATGACTTTTCATGCCGTATTTTACTGTGTTGTTTTTATGACTTACTACACTATGTTTTATGACTCTTTATGCCTTACTATACTATGACATTTTTATAACTTTTTATGTCTTAATATACTATGTCGTTTTTATGACTTTTTATAACTTACTACACTATGATGTTTTATGATTTTTTGCCTTATAATACTATGTCGTCTTATAACTTACTATACTGTCGTTATTTATGACTTCTTATGCCTTAATATACTTTGACATTTTTATGAATTGTAATGCCTTACTATAGTATGTTTTTATGACTTTTATCCCTCACAATACTATGTCGTTATTAATGACTTTTCATGCCTTACTACACTATTTCTTTTTATGCCGTATTTTACTATGTTGTTTTTATGACTTTTTATAACTTACTATAGTATGATGTTTTCATGACTTTTATGCCTTACGATACTATGTTGTGTCATAACTTACTATACTCTGTCGTTATTTATGACTTTTCATGCCTTAGTATACTATGGTGTTTTATACCTTACTTTACTACGATGTTTTTATACCTTATTATACTATGAAGTTCCCATGACTTTTTATGGCTTAACATACNTGCCGTATTTTACTGTGTCGTTTTTATGACTTTTTATAACTTACTACACTATGATGTTTTATGATTTTTTGCCTTATAATACTATGTCGTGTTATAACTTACTATACTGTCGTTATTTATGACTTCTTATGCCTTAATATACTTTGACATTTTTATGAATTGTAATGCCTTACTATAGTATGATGTTTTTATGACTTTTATCCCTCACAATACTATGTCGTTATTAATGACTTTTCATGCCTTACTACACTATTTCTTTTTATGCCGTATTTTACTATGTTGTTTTTATGACTTTTTATAACTTACTATACTATGATGTTTTCATGACTTTTATGCCTTACGATACCATGTTGTGTTATAACTTACTATACTCTGTCGTTATTTATGACTTTTCATGCCTTAGTATACTATGGTGTTTTATACCTTACTTTACTACGATGTTTTTATACCTTATTATACTATGAAGTTCCCATGACTTTTTATGGCTTAACATACAATGTCATTTTTGTGACATTTCTATGCCTTACTGTACTCTGACATTTTTTTATATTTTTATGCGTCTTCTCATATTTATTAATCAGCATCTACAATAACAATAACAACAGCTGTTTACTTGCAGTTGTCTCTTGTTGTGTGTGCCTTCACTTCCTTTCTGTGCTTCGGCCAATTGGGTTTGAGAGAATAAAAAGGGGGTGGAGGAGGAGAGAGACATAACTGCTAACTACATGAATAAGCAAGTGTACAGATGTTCCTAATAAAGTTCATATCCCACATTTCCTTCATGTGGTTATCTGACTGAGG